TCATTCCCATTATCTTCTTTATTCTTAAGGAGCTACCCTAATAATCATCTATCATTCATTTATTCATTCCTAAGGATTGTCTAAGGAATAGGCACGAAGTCTATTGCTACCAGGGTTTATCTAACAAGCACTATGTACATAGTTGCCAATGTTATCTATTACACACAACTGCTAATATTATCCTTTAGGCGCAGCTAACAGGATTTGGAGAACACATAATTTAAAAACATCTATAGGTTGTGGCGCAGCTGCTAATATTCATCTATAGGGCACTAAATCCGTAGCTGCCAACGTCCATTCATAAGGCACTAAGTCCATAGATTCTAGGGTTTTTATTGTACATCTGGTGAATACATCGTTCACAACACCTATAGATTGCGAGCCTGCTAGCGTTCCACTGGACTGTCTAGAATAATCTGTGGTCGTCATCTATACTCTGGTAGATGACTGGGCGATCGCTTGGGTCAAGTCTTCTCATCATCTTTCACATCTCATCATCTATATAATCTTTCATCTCTCATCTTTCATCTACCCTTCTTTACCCAATATATTTATAGGTATAAAAATACATATACGATTTAAATCAAGTAAAACGTGTATATTTTGTTCATTTAGCATAGATATCAAGAACACAAATAATATGCACACATAGCACGCAATTTATATTAAATACTTCATATCTATGTGTAAGATGAAAGTAACTATGCACTCACTTGTTAAAGCGATGACTCCAAACTCGGGCAGCGCTTCGCTTCTAACAATTTTATTTTCCTTCGACGAAACCTAGTATCATTACCATTAGATTTTAGTATAACATTTATTGCGACTAATTATTAGTCTAGATTTACGAGCGATATTATTTTATAAGTGTTAAACAATACTTTTCAACTACTATGTGCAGACATGGGTCATACATGAAACAACGGAGGGCATGACCATTTTGACATTTAAGTTGTTTTGAAATCCAACAACCCTATGCGGTCCTTCAAACCAGATTCCTTGTACCGTGAGCAATTAAAATGTATTATAATAGCACTTTGTATTTTATAATACTTAGCTCATATATTTCTTATAGGTTCATAATAACGATAATGAACTTAAGCATAAGTTATACTTAAAGTAGGGTAAGCATAACTCACTTACAAGGGGGTTTAGCGAAGAACCGGACTCTGCGCGGGCAGAACTTCTGAGCCGAAAGCTCTTCTTCTTATAGCCTTCTGGTGCTCCAGAACTTGCCTCTAACACTTGGGAAGTGCTAGGGAAGGGGAAGGGTTAAGAAGGATGTTTGAGAGAGAAATAATGGGAAATGTGTGAAGAAGAATGAAGAAAAACACTTCTATTTATAGGCTGGGAGGCTGCGCATATGCGGGGTGTACTTCAGAGTACGTTGGGCGTACTTGGTACGTGGGGCGTCTGAAGACCTACGCTGCGCGTACGAGGGGCAGGTGTCACCATCGCATGAGAAGCCGTGGAGAGGAAGGGAGGGTTCGGATCAAGCCACGTGTCAGCCTCGCATCAACCATAATTTAATAAACTTCTAAATTCCGTAACTTTCGCATACGAGCTTCGTTTTCGACGTTCTTTATATCCACGTGTAGGTATCGACGGGATCTACAACTTTCATTTAGACTATGTCGGATAATTTTAACTTTATCTTTAAAGTTATATTTTAACAGACTTAGACAGATAAAGTCCATTAAAATTTCATAACTTTTTCATCTGACGTCCGTTTTCGTCTGTCTTTATATCGTTGAGTTCTTATTAACGAGATATTCAATTCTCGTTTAGATTGTGTCGGCTAAAAATCGATCGATCTAAAATTTGAATTTCGGACTGTACACTGCTATGCCAAATCTTAGAATAATTATAACTTTTTCATAAGAAATCAGATTTGGACGTTCTTTTTACGTACGTTCTCGATTCAATGTCCACTACGATTTTGGTTTAGATTTCTAATGTTAAAAAATAGTTTATCAAAAATTCACTTTTTACGTTACGTGCTGTCGTGTCGGTTTAACCGTAAAACTTCGATGAGTCATAACTTCTTCGTTATAACTCGGATTTCAACGTTTTTTATATGTACGAAACCATTGTGTCATATACTATAACTTAGTTGAGATTATTTATTTTAAATAAACTTCTATCAAAAAATCGTTTTTTAATACTTATTACCTCTAAATTAATTAACCCGAATCTATAGGTGTTAGATATCTTGATCATCATGGTCCTATTAAAACATCTTCTAACTTGTCTCACGTTAATTTTATTTTGCTTATAGATGTCCGTTAATTCAAGTAACAAGAAGATGAGGTTAGATCTAAGCTTTGTTTTTTTGGCCAAAAAGTACCTTAAATTAAGCGAGAGGTTTCATAAAATTTTAAAATTAACTGAAACATAAGTAGTCGAATGCTATTAATTTGTATAAGAAAGATTTAAAGCAAAATCAAAATTGTACAGGAAATAAATTCTAAATATACAAAAACGCCTCTCTCCTGTTCGTTGGTAAGAGAAAAGTGTGGTGGTACTTTGATATCAATTTTGGTGAGGTTATTGAGGATGTTTGCCTCTCAAGAGTAGTGGGTGAAGTTGTCTATGTCGCCGTTTTACGAAGTTTCTTCCTTATTAGTTTAATTGCTTAATTGTTTAAACAATTATTCATTTTCACGAGTTGTTTCTTTTAGAAAAAAAATCATATACTAATTTCTTATTCATTTTAAAAGGCAAAGCATTTTTGAAAATAACGAGTTCATATTAGGGTGTTTATGTATATTTTTGAAAATTGATCTACTTAGTAAAACAATAAATTTATTCTTTTTTTGCTATGTATCATTCCATTAGGTTTTTTAGTCAGGCTATTGATTTTTTATTTTAAATTTTAAAATTTTCATTCTATTTACATTAAATTAATAATATTAAAATTAAATTAAAATAGAGTTAATACAAATTATAAAAAAGATATAATTTTATGTATTTATTAAAATCAATGATTATAATTTTATATAACTAAAAAAATATCTCTTAATTAATAGTTTATTTAAAATAATTGATTAATAATTTTAAATTTTTAATATGAAAATTTAATTAATTTTGTAATCGTAGTACCATGGATTATATAACTAGTTATCTAATATAAAATTTGAAAGTTGTAAAAAAAATTCTTATATTTTAACTAAACAATATCTATTCTGTTATATTTTATTATAAAGTCGTTTACAAATTTTGACCGGTTCTTTGGATAATAACTTAGATCCTTTTTTTTAAACTTAAAAAAAAAGGTAAGATTTCCTTTAGAATGATTAATTCATGCATCCCTACTTACTCTTAGATCCATATTTTTCTTTTAAACAAATATTAGAATATTATGTCTTTTATACAATAATCATAAAATGTTATTTGAAAAAAGACAATATTATTTTAATAATTTTTCAAAAAAAAAGTACCGTATGAAAATCTATCACGTAAAAAAGAAAAAGAAAATAATTTTTTTATTTAAGTTATAGAAAAATAACCTTACCCAAACAGCATGTGAAAATGATATGTTTTCCTTAAAAACAACTATTTATTTCATTAGTAATTCAAATAATTCCAATTATTAAACATTGAAACGACTACTCTTTTAATTGTTATATAATTTTAAAATTTAAGTATAAGTACATTCAATTATTTCCATATTCCATAACCATCTATTTTAGTTAATTATCTAAAGGACATAGCTTCTTTTAGTTGACGTGGCAATTAAAATTATCAAATTTAGTTTATTCTTTAATTTATGGATTTCTTTTAGTAGTTCAAAAAAATATCATTGATTTTTAATCATAAAAATTAAGTTGTCGCAAATTTGTATTTTCTGATTTTTAATCCAAACGACGGACATATATTTTCCGGCGACCGGGACACATTTGAGCGGGAACTGAGAGTGGAAAACAGCAAATTTGTCAGTCGGCGAGTACGTTCATGCTCACGCGCCCACCACCACCAAATTCATACCAACCTTCGTCACACCGACACTTGGTTGTTAACTTCTTTGCAGTCGTTAGAGCGTGTATACACCTTCCGCTTTACTCGAGTAAACCTTACTCATACATTATTAAACGTCCTTCAACTACTCTGTTGTCACTCCTCCATGTTCCATGTTCATGCATACTACCACCTTCTAGTTTAGTCATATAATCACATGACTCCCTTATCTTCACATCTTTATTAGTTAACACCAATTTAAAAAAGTAAATTACGAATTTGGATAAAAAGTGGCAACTTCCCAATAATATAGCTCTTAATAACTTGTATTCTAAATTTGTTTTTTTCAGTTAATAATTTAATATAATAGGTAATCAAAAAACAAAATATTATTATTATTATAATTATTATATACCATCTAATTTTTTTCATGATAATTAGTATAAGATCCTACTTTTTTGGGGTTTAATCTACTATTTTATCAAAAAAAACTACGGTTTTAACTTTTTTTTTTGGTGATATCAAGTATTAAAAAGAGTGTTTGGAAGATGTAGAATTATTTTAACAATTATTTTGTTAAAAAAATTTGAGAATTCAAAACAGTAGACTTAAAAAAAAAACATATTTTTTTCCTTACGGTTTGGAAAACCGTAGCTAAAACGAAAGGAAACCGTATGTTTTAAAAAACTTAAGGATTTGTATCTTAGAAATGAAATTTTTTTGTTTTACAAAACACGAAACAATAAACGAATTGACGAAACAGTAGATGGATTACCACAAAAGAGTAGTCGACGTTTGTGACCGTACTCAACTATAGGTTGACTATTTTTTTGTGGGTTATTTTTGGTTAAGAGGCTTTTTTTTTTTTTTTTTTTTTTGGCTATTATTTGATAAATAATTAGCAATTATGGCTAGATTTGTATTTTCTTCTTGGTCCAAATCCTTTTTGCCAAAGAAAGGAGTTTGAAGGACCGAAACGAAAACATTGCTTTTGTTGAATTCTTGTTCGTTTGGTTACAAAAACAGTCCCTCGTTTTTTAAATTTTCATCTCTAACTCACAAACTCACATCACATCCTCTCTCTTCCCCCATCTGCCCATAACCAAGTGTCTCTTCCAGACAATATTTATTACTTCGAGTTCACACTTCACCCACTTTTGGTACGCTTGATTTCATGTAAGTTCTGAAAATCCTTGCAATTTTCTCCATGAGCTTCATTTTTATTCGCTAATGGCATCCTTGATTCCTCTTATTCTTCTATTTTCGGTTGATCTACACAATTACTTTTGTTTATTTATGGCATTTGATGGTTATATGGTGGTAAGGGCTTCTTTCGTTAATCGGGTTCCCTAGCTGGAGCTGTTGTTATTCTCATTGTTTTGGTCAAAATTTCCTATTAATAGTTCATGAACTTCAGCAACAAGCTCAACTTAGAATTCACTATCTATAATCAATGGCGGCGTCTATACCCCATTAAGCCCCTTCCCGTTCGGGTTGTAATCTATTGCATATTCGGTTTTGTTGTTAGCTAAACTTTTTTATGCTTATGTGCTGTAGGTTAAAGGTTACTGTGGTTCCATAGCTTTTTTCGGGCATTCACGCAACTTATTTGGTACAAGAGCAGAAATAAAAAATGGTATCGGGAATGAAGGCCAAAAACAGGAAAAGCCCATCTGTACAACTCGATTATGTCATCACTATTATAGAGATTAAACCATGGCCTCCATCTCAGTCATTAAGATCACTTCGTTCTGCTTTGATTCAGTGGGAACATGGTGACAAGAATTCAGGGACTACTAAAGCAGTTACCCCTGTACTTGTTCCTGGTGCTAGTGTTGGTGATGGTAAAATTGAATTCAATGAATCGTTTAAGCTTCACTTGACATTGATGAGAGATATGTCGATCAAGGCTGGGGACAGTGACACTTTCTTAAAGAACTGTGTGGAGTTGAATATGTATGAACCACGAAGGGACAAAATAGGGCAGTTGTTGGCGACTGCTGTTGTGGATTTTGCAGAGTATGGTGTTGTGAAAGATGGTTTGATTGTTAGTGTACCCATGAACTGCAAGAGGACTTTCAGTAATACGAGTCAGCCTATGCTTTTTCTAAAAATTCAAGCATTTGAGAAGAACAATCGTGTGAGATCTTCATCTGGGGATAGTTTAGTCAGAGAAGGATCAACGGAGATGAATGAAGAAACCGAGAGTGTCTCAATTACTGATGATGATGTATCCTCCTCAAATGGGAGTTCAAACCCTCACAAAGAGGTACTTTATGTTGCTTCCTTTTTTCTATTGGCAATATATTCCCTCCATTCAGTTTTAATCTTGTGTTATATTCAGACTAAGCTTAAAACCCAAAATCAATATGAAATTTCTTTCTTAGAGGGTGTTTGGATTTGTGTTTTTGAAAGTGATTATTTTGACTTGAATAATAAGAATAAGATAGTTAGAAAATCAGTTGAACAAAGCTAGGTGTAGGTAGGTGTTGTGCATTTATTAGAAAAATCATTCTTCTTACAACTTTCTACTTGCTTCTACAAATCTGATTAGTTTGAGCCTAAACAATCAGAATTGTAATTTACCCAAACAATCGAAACTGATTATTATAATTTCAAGCCTTAGTAATCAGTTTAAACACACATGAAGGAATTTTGAATTGCTTTAAAAAAGTGAAATGTATCGCATTGATTTTACTGGTTAAATAACATGGTGGCAGTCAATTGCAGAAGGAAGCTGAGGACAAATGTGGAAGCATGGATAGAGTAGTTAGCAATCAAGAAATCTTGGTTCAAGATAAAAGTAAAACCATTGCTGCTGAACAAAAAGATGAAGAATTAAACACCAATATGAGGAGTGGTAAAGTGGATGATCAGACATCATCAAATATAGATGAAAGTCAAACCATGGGGGATCTTGAGTCTAACATTTTAAGTTGTGATAGATTAAAAAAAGTGAAATCCGGACATTCCCTGTTGGATTCAGGATCTTGGAAGAGTAGTAGTGGGAAAGATGGTTTTCATGGTGGCAATGAAAGGAAAGATATCAACAAGTTACAACAATTACAGCGCAGGGTACAGAATCTTGAAAGCGAGCTTAAAGAAGCTGCTGCTATTGAAGTTGGTCTTTACTCAATAGTAGCAGAACATGGAAGTTCTATGAATAAAGTTCATGCGCCAGCTAGGCGTCTTTCTAGGCTATACCTTCATGCATACAAACAGATTTCACAAAGAGCAAGTTCAGCAAAAAGTATTGTTTCCGGATTGATTTTGGTTGCAAAAGCTTGTGGAAACGATGTCCCAAGGTAGGTAGTTACTTTAACAAATTACCATGATGACGATGATGATATATAATTAATCTTGTTTATGTTTTAGGTTGACTTTCTGGTTGTCAAACTGTGTGGTATTGAGAGCGATAATATATGATGCTTTCGAGCAAGATCACATGAGCAAAAAGAAGAAAGAATCTTGTAGAAACGAATGGGAGAAGCCTTGTCAATTCACTTGTTCCATAGAAAAAGTTGAATCTTGGATCTTTTCACGAATCATTGAGTCAGTCTGGTGGCAGGTTTGTTGCATAATAATAATAGTAGTAGTGGAGTATTAAATATTGTGTAAGACTATAAGTATGTGGTTGCAGACGCTTACTCCATATATGCAATCAACGGCTGCAAGGGCTATTGTTAGAATTGTAGATTCAGAATGTAGTAAAAAAACATCACGTGAGCAAGAACAAGCAAACTTCTCAATGGAGCTATGGAAGACTGCTTTCATGGATGCCTGTGAAAGGATTTGTCCTGTTCGAGCTGCTGGACATGATTGTGGCTGCTTGCCTGTGCTTTCGAGATTGGTAGCTTTTCATCTATCTGATTACGTGATATGTAAGAGCTTTTTTTTTTTTTTAATAGTTTGTTTTTTGGTTACCAGGTAATGGAAGGGTGCATGGGGAGATTAGATGTGGCTATGTTTAATGCTATTCTTCGGGAATCTGCTGATGAGGCTCCAACTGATCCTGTATCAGACCCAATCAGTGATGCAAGAGTTCTTCCTGTTTCATCAGGGAAACCAAGCTTTGGGGCTGGTGCACAGCTCAAAAATGCAGTAAGTCTCTTTCTGTATACATATAAATAAATTATGTCAACCAAAACTCTGAAATGTTGTTGTTTTTTTGGCAATTGTTAAGATTGGAAATTGGTCGAGGTGGCTGACTGATTTATTTGGTATCGATGATGATTTCGTTTAAATCTTTTCATCTCCTGAATGC